TTTTATTACAAAAGGGTTAAAATTTTCATAATAAATTTAAGTGCTTCCTAGGAATGCACTTGAGAGTGCTTCTTGAAGAAGCACACAACATGTGCTTCTCTAGAAAGCGATTCTACGATCTAGAAACACTACTTCTTAATTTTCCAGCCAAACACAGTCAGAGAAGCGCTTTTGGTTGTCATAAAGCGTTTTTAGCCCCTCCAAAAGAACTCCCAAAAATGTTAGTCTAGTTGACAAAAAAAAAAAAAAAAAAAAGGCTCTTAGTGTTGTGGTATTTATCTTTCCAATGTTTCAAACATTCAAAGTTTGAATTCCCCCTCCCTATTGATTAAAAAAAAAAAAATTCTGCCATTTTTAATTTAAAAAAATCATTTTAAAACTTTCAATAGCCTAACATTAACCAATTGGGTGTTTAGTTGGATTGGCCCAGACCTTTGGTGTGCTCCCAAGTGGTCCTGGGTTCAAGCCCCAATGGTACCCGTGTGTGTGCTAACATGATGAGGATGTGTTCCAAAAAAAAAAATAGTTGTTGGCAATATGATGTGTGCGTGAGCAAATGGAGAAATATCACCGGTGAATGAAGTTAAGGTTTCACACCCAAAATTAATTGGCAATGGGGGGAGTACTCGAATTCCTTTAACTCATGCTAGGTCCCTTAACTTTTTTAATGTGGGACTAACTGTCACGCCCCAGACCCGGGGGTTGGTGGAAACCCCGCACCCGATGCCTGAGAAAATAAAAAGTAAAATAAAATAAAAAGAAGCCAGAACATAAAATAAACTTTTCTTATAAAAAATAGATCCCAAATTCTTACAACTTTACATGAAATAAATAAAGCTCTATCACTCTCATCTAATTTATCCTCAACTGGTTTAGTCCTCGTCTTGCCCACTAATTCATCTGAAAAATTAAACAGCGTGAGGGGTGAGCAACCACCGCTCAGTTAGGACATGAGACCTTACCACAGTAGATTAATATAACTAAATTAAGTGACATGCAATCACACAGCCAAATATCACATTATTAATCATAATGCATGAATGCTCTTCATCTAATCTCGTTAATTCATATAACTGGACAAGCAGACCTGCACGTCCCATACCATACTTATACCACTTGGTCCCGAATGCCCATTTATATAAACTAACACCCATTTCAGCCGTCCCATAATTCCTCTTTTGTTAGATATCTTGTCTAACTCCCTTTCGCCAGTCCCGAATCACCCAACAAAAACCATGTGCACTGTGGGATCCCTGAGACCTGGTACCTGCCAAGAGTTAGACTCAACTACACAAAAGACTATATCCATTACCCTCTTTTCCATTATTATCTTCTCCACCCAACAACTCCAACTAATTTCCATGACATGATATAATTATGCATTTCACATATCCATATATCTCACAATAATGTAACATTTAAAACATCACCAACATATACATATATATATATATATATATTATTCAATCAGTCAAGAACACATAAACATTCCATGAAAAACATTCAATTGTAATAAGAATATTAATCAAATAATCATATCACGCATAATATAATACTCATGAAATTTAATTAAATCAATCCCCGTAAAGGGCCCCCAAGAAATCCCTACCTCGATTCCAAAGCATTGCTCCAAGTTAAGAAAATACAAGCTAAGCCCCAACTCTCCTTCAAGAATCACCTCTCTCTCTCTCTCTCTCTCTCTGTGTAAATTTCTTTTCTAATTTCTCATGTTTTGAAACTATAAGTTTATGCTCCTACTTATAGTGTTTAGGGATAGAACAAACTTCAATATTAAAAAGGATAAGAACATCCAAGTTTATCCAAAAGATAAATATCTTAAAAAGATAATATCATTCAAGTTTATCGATAAGTATCTTAAAAAAATAATATCATTCAAGTTTATCCAAAAGATAAATATCTTAAAAAGATAATATCGTCCAAGTTTATCCAAATGATAAATATCTTCTTTTATCCGTTTAAAATACGGGTCTTTACACAAACACTCTGAACAATCATGTTGAATTTGCAAAGAATGATTCTGAATTTTAAAAATAAATTTAGCTCTGAGAATCAGCGGGTGGGGTTGGTGATTTATTGTATAAGAACAGTAAGTGAATTTGGGGTTTTAGGAGGAGAAAATAAAGTCGGTGGGGTTCCTCTATATGATGGTTTTTCCTTGTAACGGTCGGATTTAATTGAAGTGCTGTTTGATCTGAGACTTGGATGCCAAGCTACTAAATAATAGCTGGAAAACTACAACTACTTTTTCAAAACGCTTTTGTACCCGGAAGGAGTAGGACTCGGATACTACGGCACTTATATAAACATTTTAAAAAAATTATTTAAAGTTAATTTATTAATTTTTATAAATGAAGGAACTGAGCTATAGTTCCATTGACGGATATGCTTATTTTTTGATAAAAAAAGCAATAAAATTTTATTAGATCAATATGAATAAAGAGTACATAGGACATAGACTATAAAGGAGTCATCCCAAACTAGCAATTATTATGCAAGCGGCTTTAAACTCAAGTGGTTATCCCCTACATCCGAAGTCCTATATTCGGTTTCCAATGTTTTCCAATATCACTTGTAACAAAACTAGCAATCACTATAGAAAAAATTAGGCAATAATAACCTCTTTTTCGTGACTTCTTCGGTGACTGTTGGCACCAACAGTAACTATTTTTGGTGACTAAAACCTTTTAATTACGCTGCAGTTACGATTTTAACGTTCGTGATATATGAAGCCGTTCATTTGTTACGATTTTTTACCACAAATCGTGACAAATTTCGTTGACTCTAATTGCTTCAAAAGTATAGTGGGGCCTACAGCATATCCAATCAACTTTTGTCATATATTTATATGTTATTGCTTTTTTTGACTAGGCTCACGACATCCACCCAATTTTAATATATTTTCTATTTCAGAGTATAATATTTTTTAAAAGAAAATAACAATTTTTATTTGGTATATTTCTTCATTTTCTATTTGGTATACTTCTTTCCTTTTCATTTTCCAATAATTGATTAATAAATATACCTATAAATCCACCCATTACTAGAAAAAGATATTGTTTTTATTTCAAAACGTTCTTTGATTGCAATTTCATTACAATTCAATAACTGATTAATTACAATTTCTATTTTCTATTCTTGAGGCGTTCTTGGTGACTCCCACATCTGTCTTCATCATCTGAGACATGTGGAAAAACAAAAGTATAATCCAAGTAAAACACAAGAATAATCCAAGTAAAACATGTCAAGAACTTGATTAACCGAACAATAATCCAGAAATATGTATATACCTTATGCAAGACGAAGAGTTGATGAAGATTCTGCAACTCAATTATACCACAAAAATCAAAAGAAGAAAAAAAACCATAACAAAAGCATCACAAAACAACCATGCTGAAAAACTAAAACTGAGAAAATCCAAAAAATGTAACGTCAAGACGCAAGAACCAAATCCGAAAATATAAACACTCCAACTTATAATCAAACCAAATTAATCATCAATTAGCCCAAAACTAAAAATCCTCACCTTGTTTCAAATGCTTAGTCCAAATAGACATGAACAACAACAAAATCTAAAATAAATAATCACAGCCCTGGATTGAAACCTAAACGTCAAAATTTGCAGTAAAAAACAAACCCTAAATGGTAAAACTACCTCTGACGGAGGGCTGGCAGGATCCCCCATGTCTTCTTGTCCACCATTGCCTAAGGAGAGGTGATGGTTACTTGGTGGCGACAGATCTGGTGGTAAAACCTATAAAAAGTTAAACATAAACTACTAATTACATCAATAACTGAACTATAAAAAAATACAAGACAAAACAAAAGAGGAGGCGGTGTTGTGGTGTTGATCATATAAAGTGATGGTAGAGAGGCTCAAGTTGTGTTGAGAGGAGGCGGTGTTATGGTGGTCGAGAGGCTCATGGTTGTGTTTTCTTCTTGGTAAATTTCAATTACAAATTTATTTAGCCTCAATTGTCCGTGCATATTAAATAAAGGCAACGTCTATAGTGCACCACCGGTTATACAAGTTGTCCAGTTTTCACCTTTTGTTAATATTTAATGCAAATGCAATTGCATAAGGGTCATGCAATTACATTCTCCCTATTTGGCAACTGACATATGATTTGACATCCTATTTTTCAATTGAGTTTATTCTATTTGACTCACGATGACATGCTTATGAATTTCACGATGGTATTTGTTTACTTTTTATAAATCTAAAGTTACTGTTTTAAACTCTTTTTTTATGAAAACCGTTTTAGACTCTTTTTTTTTTCTTTTCCTTTTTTCTGATTTCAATATGTCACCTCATTGTAGCTTTACTCAATTTCATTATGAGTTGTTGGTTTTATTTATATGAATTATGATGACTAGTTGTGGGTAATTCCTCCGTATTTTATGCTTAGAGTTTAAAAATCAATTGAAGTTGATAGTTTTAAGTTTTATTTATATGAATTATGATGACTAGTTGTGGGTAATTCCTCCGTATTTTATGCTTAGATTTTAAAAATCAATTGAGGTTGCTAGTTTTAATTTTGGTTTCTTTTGTTTCAAAGAATTGGTGAATGCACATCAACAATATTTATTTGAGACCTTGAAAGTCTTTATCCATTTAATTGTTATAGTACATTGTTAGGATTAAAAGTCGAGAAAAACAAGTATAAAAGTAGAAAGTTTATAAGTTTTCTCGTAGATTACAAGACTTTCAGTTATATTTACAAGGATAATGACACAATTTTACTCATCCAAGGTCCATTCTTACCTAAGTACTATGTGTCAATTTCTTTGTAAATTAGGGTATTACAATGTTATCGATTAAGGTGAACCATAATGTTGTAACTGAGCTGCAAAGTCTCATAAATGAGAACCCAAAAATTGTAACTTACAAAGTTAAGAAGTTTACAAGGTTATGGAGGCCTACGTCCATCATAGTGTAACTGTGGTCCTTAGTGTTGTATACCCTTGTGTTTACAAGTCTAAAGACCAATTATACTCCTCCAAGGTCCACTCTCACCTTAACATCTATATATATAAAGCAAAAGGCAGAGAATGGTGAAACATTCAAAATACCAAAAAATGCCATTGGTTTAATGCAAACATTAAGAATTAAAATTATTAATTAAATGAGGATAATATGGTAAATTCACACTTTTTCGTATTAAAAAAAATTAAAATTAAAAGAAAAATCAGATAATGGATCCTATTTTTATGGAACACAACTACCCATTATCTTTTTTAATTCTAAAATAAATTTTAATTTTGAAAAAAAAGCCTCTCGCAGGCACAGAAGCGCGTTGACCACTCAATTGAATCCGATATCTTTTTTAGATCATCTCTACAAAAAATCACTTGAATCCGATATCATTTGACCACTCAATTGTGTTATTGAAATTTGAGTACTTTCTTGATGCACCGTTGTTCGTTGATTTTATAGGACACAATTGGATATCGAAACGGTTTCCGATTTGTCTATTTTTTTTGTGAGGATGATCTATGAATAAAAACCTAAAAAATAGATGGTTTGGATCATTGAGAAAAAAATTGTAGGGTACCATAAAGGGCGTCCCTCAAATAAAATTATTTGAGGGATCCCTCAATAGAAGGGGACTATATATATATATATATATATATATATGGGTTTATACAAATTGAGGGCTTTTTAATACCTGGGCCTAGGCCGCCTTGCCTAATGTAACCAGGGCCTTCCCTGAAATTATGTTGTGAGGTGGGCTCCAATTACATACTCGTTTTTGTTTGAAAATTTCTCTATGGTATGGCATGTAATTAATTTTGATAGATTTATTCACATAAACTCACAACCATAAATCCGTGTAGCTAGGCCCCACATGTAAGAAAGTACATATTAATTAACGGTTCACAGTCATTCATATAGCCATAGACAACTACAAATACTTAAAAGCTTGCATTGATTTTGAATGAAACAACTCGAAAATGAGTTAATTATGTAATTGTGTGAAGGAAAAATTTAAAGACAAAATTGAAATGAAACAATTGAAAGTCTCTTATCTTGAAATTTACAACAAAGTGCATCGATAAAATTGTAACACAGATCAGAAGGTAATTAATTGCATATTTTGATGCATCAAATTATTCAAAAAAATGGAAAAAAAAAATATTTACTTAAATATCATCACATTATAGAACAAGCGTGAGGGTTCTCATCACTAAAGGCAGCAGTTGTTTGATAGCCATAAGCACGTGTGGAATTTGCAGGATTTTGAGAATAGCCATGAGAAGGGCCATCGTAGCCATGCTTGTAGTAGTTGTACCATGATGAAGGCTGAGGTGCATAGTTGTTGAGTGGGCCATTGCACTGCTGATTATAATATTGATCTGTACTGAAGTTATTGTGGTCTGCGCTGTAGGGGAACTGCCACAGCTCAGCCCTACGACCAGTCTTCCGGACTGTCCTGAGAACCTTCTTTTGGTCAGCCCATCCGGTGATCGTCACCTTCTGCATGGCCATGTCTATATCAACGCTGTCCACACCTAATCAAAATCAAAGTGCAAACCATTAAGATAATAAGGTAAAAAAATCAAAATTAAAAAATCAGAATAAATATATATCTTTGAGTGCACTTCTAACCTTGCTCTCACATCCGGGGCAGTCCATATGGACTCTCATCTCTACTGTCTGAGAAATGAAAAGCATCATGCCAAGTGATTTTGTAACGTTAGAAGAAAAACAAAATTCATAAATTAATTTAGGAATTCAGTAGTCAGATAATATCATCTGAACTTCATTTGATTTTTTACCAAAAAAAAAAAAGCATAGAACCAGAAACAGAAGTTGTCTTACCGTCATTCTGCTTTTGCAAATGGTTGAAGAAATCTTTATGAGCTTTTCTATACGAAGCTGTATCTATGAAATTGACAGTGATATATATATATATATATGTATATATATATAGTTTATGAATTTCGTGCACACCGACTTTAATCTTCTTCTACCTGTCTTGCAGGTTACAGATTGGATCTTTAAGCAAGACATTACTTAGCAAGTATCCCATTTTTCAACCAATAACAAGTGGCCACCTGTCCTGCTCCATCTCTTTTACGGGATCCATTACAAGCTACAAGGTTTAGAGAGGGCCATTGACTTTGTATTGAACACCCTTTTTAAGTCAAATTAATTATTTCTCAGATATTACTTGTTGAATATAATGCATGATTGAAATAGTTGACCGTTAGAGTAGGGAATTTTGAGTCTAAGTAAGGCACATGTATACCGGCCAAAACTGCCGGATCATGTTTTAGTGCTTTTGGTTCTGATACCTTCAGGCCTTCAAGTGTCAACTCAAGAAATTAAAGCTTTTCATGAGGGAGCTACGCGGTTAGGCAGTGCTACACAGAAAATTGCTTGTTTAATTGCTTGCTTAGTAATTAAGGACATATTTTTTTCTTATTTGACCAAATTTGAAGAAAGAGAAAAAGATCGAGGCTTGTAGATTGATGCAATGTCCTAAAGACAATATTTTCATTTCTCGGTGCTTGAAGTTTTAAATATCATTGCCTTCAAAATTCAACTATCTATTTTCTAAGTCCTAGGCAATTTGGTTATAAAATATTTAAAACAGCTCAAAATGCCCTTAGTTAATTGAAATATTAAGAAACAAAACTCTTCATCGCATGAGCATAATATAATAACTTAATAGTTTTTTTATATAAATTAATTAACGAAAAAAAACAAGAACATAGGCCCTACTTCTATGGGACACAACTAAATACATTTTAATTTTAAATTAAAAAAATCTAAAAAAATAAATAACCAATTGGCACACGTGGCCTAATGAAGAACAATTTGGGCTTTACCTTTGATTGGGCCTTATATAATATTTAATTATCAAAAGATTGGTCTTTTGGGCTCCTCTAATTTTAGTTAATTTTAGTTTTTGGAACAATAATTTATTAATTTTTTGTGGATTATGATAAACATAAGGACAATGCTTCCCTCCTTACCAAAAAAAAATCATATTGCTTTTAAAAATAATTTTCCTTCCTCATAGGTGATTTTTCGTAAGATATGAAAGCTGAAGAGTCTGACCTTTTTTTTTTTTTTTTGGTTTTGTTTTGTTTTGTTTTGGTAAAAAGTTATGGGTTTAGTAAAAGTGAAAGAAAAAAAAGCAGTTTTGACAATTAAAAATAAGAGAACCCATGTCACTTTGTACTTGAGCCACAGTAGAAGAGAAGCATTTCATTCAAACATAGCATTATCAACACCTCATTCATTCAATTTTGTTTGAGAGGAGAAGTGAAATGTGTGTTAATGGCCCTCTATGATGAGTATGTAGCAAAGGTAAATGGTGGCATTCACATGAGAACGAATTCTACCACAAAATGTAGGATTTGCAAGTGGTAGTAATAATATGGTTGAAGAAAGTGCTGTTGGTGATGATGTTTTAGATGATTGGATTAGGGAGGTGGAAGAGAGTGATGAAGCTGTGGTGTCACATGAAGTTGATTCTTACTTGGTAGATCTTTTGGCTTTAGTTTCCAAAGATGCATTTTTTGACATATTGATGTGGTGGAAACTCAATGGGCCCAAGTATCCTATCTTATTAGCAATTGCGAAGGATGTTTTTGCAATTGAAACTTCCACAGTGGTATCTGAGAGTTGTTTTAGCACTGGTGGCAGAGTCGTAGATGCATTTAGGAGTTCATTAACTCCTAGATCAGTGGAGGCTTTGATATGCATGCAAAATTAGTTGAGAGGGGATGAAATTTCAAGCTTGGAAGATACACTTTCGATTGAAGAATTTGAATTTTATGAAATCCTTAAATCTGGTAAATTATTTTAAATACGTTTTGTAATTTGTATTAGTTTGCATTGAATTCTTTCTAATAGTTGTTTGGGTAATTTGCAGAATATGCAAATGATGGGGCTACTTGAATTGAAATCATGGGCTCCAAATGAAGCTTGGATTGCATAACTTTTTGTTTTTGTCATTTATGTTTGGATTGTGTTTGTAAATATGCTTGGATTGTGTTTGTAACTTTGTAAGCCATAAGGCATAATTTTAACCATTTGGGTTTGTAAGCCATAAGGCATGAATTTGAATTGCATAAATTTATGTTTATTATCACTTCATTTCATGAATTTCATAAGGCATCAAATACCAATATCATTTTGGGTTTGTAAACTGTGTAAGCCATAAGTAAGGCATTGGATTACATAAGTTGTGTTGATATGAATTGAGATTTGATGAATTTGCTGAATTGTAAGCAGTTATTTGATGAATTTGCTGATTGGTGGATTTTCAATTGTGTCATTTTGGTATCGAAATGGTACCGTTTCACACCGGAACCGATCAGCTTCGGTATGGTAAGGTGTAAGGTGCACCTTAGTAGGCCCTTAGTTACACCCTAGTTAAACCTAAGGAGTAAGGGATAACTAAATTAGGCCTAAGGCGTCTTAGTTAGACACCTTAGACCTAATTGCTGAACTAAGACAGCTAAGGTGTCAAATTATGGGACACCTTAGTTAGGTGTAAGGTATCTAACTTAGGCATAATTAAGGGACACCTTAGTTAATTTGTAAGGTGTAAATAAACTTAAGCCTAAGTTTGGTGTAAAGCGTCAAAGGTGCTTAAGGTTTAAGGTTTTAGGTTTAACTAAGGGCCGAAGTTAGACACCTTACACCTTACACAATTAAAGTGTCAAATTAAAGAACACCTTAGTTAAGGTGTAAGGTGTCTAACTTAAGCCTAATTAAGGGACACCTTAGCTAAGGTGTAACTAGCTTAGGCTTAAGTTAGGTGTAAGGTGTCTAAGGTCTAAGTTTTAAGGTGTCTAAGTTGTAACTAAGGACCTACATTAGACACCCTAGACCTCTTAAACCTTAACTAATTTAGACCTTAAGGTATAACTAAGGTGTCTAAGGTCTAAATTACTAGCACTCTATTATCCTTTTCCTAACTAAGGCCATCTCCAAGTGAGGGCTATATCTTTAAATATAGCCCAAAATCACCAAAACCCATCTCCAAGAGTGGGCTACACAAAAGGCTACAAAAACATGGAGGGTTATCCTTCAGGCTAAGAAAATGAATTATTTATTATTTTCATCTTACATCAGTAAATGTAAATACACAGTGGTACAAGGATGATACTTACGTGCTGCCAACTCAAGCACATAAAGAGTTTTATGTGGACGATCCAAAATTGGGTCTTTAATAGAAAGTTGTTCACAAGTTTGAGTATAGGCACTTGTGGGATGTTCCAGAGAATTGAGATGTTGATATTAATGATGGTGATGATGAAAATAATGATAACAATGAAGAAATCGGGCTCGGTAACAATGATGATAACCATGCAGATGTTGAGGATTGTGATGATGATGGTTCTGGTTCATCATTATGTAGACATGATGAAGAACCTGAAACTATTGTTGTGGATAATACTACTTTGGAAAGAATCATACCAAGTACCATTGATTTTATTGACGATGATACGGAAGAAGATGAAATACCATTTAGGAAGAGGAAGATAGTGTACATAGTGACACATATAGTGATTTAGATTGATGATTTGGTAAGACGTGCAAGTTTATGCTTTAACTATATATAAAAATTTACTAGTAATCTGTTTAAAATGTTTTATGATGTCTTACTCAAATTATTTAGAGTTTTTTTTTTATTGGTTTTGTAAAGTAGATGGCAAACCAACAACAGAGAGGGAAAAGAATGAGGAAGCGCCCCAAATTACAACATCCTCCATATATTACTTAAGATGCAGTCCTAAGCATCCTTCACCACCTCAATCAGGAGCTGATGATGTTACAGATGTTGTACGTATAAATTTACTAATAACTGGCTTATAATGTATGATGTATTACTTAAAATATCCTCAGTTCTTTATTTGTTTTGTAATGTAGATGGCATAACAACAACAAAAAGGGGAAAAGACAAGAAAGCGCCCCATATTACAACCATCTCCAAATGTTACTCAAGTGGCAGTATCACCTCCTTAACATCTTTAACCACCTCAATCAGGAGCTGAGGATAGTTAGAAACCTTAGACCTAAGTTACACCTTACACCTTAAACTGTACACATTACACCTTACACCTTAGGAGGAAAAGAATCTTACCCATATACTTCAAAAATAACTACAAGCTGCTAAGATGAATTCATGTGAGTGAAGCAATTGCAGTATAAACATTTTCCCGAGAAAGTGGAGGAAAACGAAGGGGCTCTAAGAAATACAATAAGTCACCATATGAAATCCCAACAATAATTGAAAATATGATACAACAAACAATAGATAGAAATGTGAACAAGGAAAGACAAAATTTAATCAAAATTCTTAAAATCGAAGTAGCAGGAAAAGAATCTTACGATATACTTAAAAAAGAATTGCAAGATGCTGAGATGAATTCAGGTGAGTGAAGCGATCGTAGTGTAGACATTTTCCCTGAAAAGTGGAGGAAAACGAAGGGCTCGAGGAAAAGTGGAGGAAAATATCAACACTGCCATTGCTTCACTGACAATATATAATCCATCTCCTCAACAACTCACAGTTCTAGATAGATAACATTCTTTTTCTTTAAAATTTTAAGCATTAGCATTTTCTTGTTTGTTTGAAGTTTGCAATGACTACTTTTATTTATTAGAGCTTTGTATTTTTTAACCCTCATTCCTCC